CTGGGGAAACAAGACAAATTGACTATGATGAAAGGCACTCAGCCCGGGATCGCTAAAGATGATCTCGGATGATGTTACGCGTAGAGTCCAAAAATAGTAGACAGGGCAGACTTCGGGTCCATAGTCATACAGAGTCATGTATACTTACACAGAATTGATGGGAACAGGTTACAGAAGGAGGTAATCAATCTCATCAAGATTTCACAATAGGCACCTCCTGAAGGATGCAACTCAACATATTAACATGATAGCAAGCAATACAATAGAATCCCCAAGGGGGGAAAGCAGCAAACAAAAAATCTCAACACTGCACAAATGAACAATAACCATAAAACCAAATCACAATGAACACCTCATCACAGGACAAAACCAAGGACATACAAAAAAGAAGAACAATACGAATCATGCATCATGGTCAATCGTAACACATAATATAAGAGGAATGGTGGAGGACAACAAATGCAACCTTTGGCTGGAATACTGTGCAGAGAAAGAATAAGAGATCATTATCACAATAAAAACCAATGGAAATGAACAACAGATCAAACATTGGAAGTATCAAAAGTATCAGCTAACCACATCAATCGATGAACAGCAAAAGATAGGACAAGGAGTGAGCATAGCCATACACAAGAACATTGTGATCAAAATATTCAGAAAACAAGAGATTAAGGGAAGGGCTATAGTGCAAGACATGGCATTTCTAAGAAGACAAAAACTCAGGATCATAGAAGTATACCTCCCACCAAGGAGTAGCAGCAACAGAAACAAGAAAAAGATAGAGCACACAATACAGGAATAGATAGTACAAGCAGAAAAAATGAATGCACATATCATAATAGGAGGAGACTTCAATGCTATCCCCAACCCAACCCTGGACAAACGGAGCTCCCATAGATAGCCAAACAGCTGTCAACCAGAGTTTAAGCTACTAGAATGATTAATAACCAAGAGCTTCAAAGACATATTAAGGTCACACAATCCAACACAGAAGAGTTTTACATGGAGCAACAACAGAGGGACACACAGTAGAATTGATCAGATATGGTATTTATCACAAGAAACCTGGCAAACTAGGAACTCACATATAATAGATCATCCGGATGCCCTATACAAGAGTGATTATGAAATCATGATCATTAGGATGAATATGTGGCAACTCAACATTATCAATCATCAGAAGAATCATAGGAGCAACTCACAATACAACTGGAGCAAAACAGATACTAAACAATGGGAAAAATTCAAGAGTACCGTGAAAGACAATATAGAAAGAGAGGACAAACTAGAACAAGAAGACATAGAAGGCAAATAGAACAAATTCAAACAATCCCTCCTAATAGCAGCAAACCATCACATTCCCAAGATAAAATCACAGAAGAGAAACAAGAGAATAGGTAAACCTCCAACTCTATACAAGAAGATCACCAACATCCAGACATTGGCAGAACTTCTTCAAAGAAACATCGACACTCCAAACAAACACACAGACATCTTATACTGAAGCAAATCAATAGCATATGAAAGGATTTCCCAAAGCTAACGAAGGAGTTACTATCATGTGAACCATCCAGCCAACAGAACAAGCAAATACACTGGAAAAAGATATGTAAAAACCACATCATTCAGTACAAAACTGTCGCTAAACTCATAAACAATCACCAAATAAGCAGGAGAATACTGCAACACATAAAAAGATGGCAACAATGGCTCCTGGACAACAAGATATCAATTATTAATAGCATCTTAGAGAGACCCAACAGATCCATCGTGACAGACAAGCTGGTTATCAAAAGAGATAACCAATTAGAGGTGATCACAGAACCAGAGGAAATTAAAAACAGAGTAGCAGAACACTTTGAAGCCTGGACCCATCACAGGGAGACTATACCAGTGGAAACATCAAATAAGTGGGCAGAACAGTACACACTAAAAAATAGAATACAAGAGCACTGATTTGAGGGCCTGCTGTCACAAGTAACTACACAAGAGCTGGACAGAGTAATCAGAGACAGAAGCTCCAAATCTGCACCAGGTCCAGATGATTTCCCATACAGCACATATAAAAACCTAGGGCCAAAAGCGTTAGCATGGCTCATAGATCTGTACAACAGAATTCTGGCACAAAGAGAAATACCACAAGAATAGAGTACAGGACACATATATCCAATCCCCAAACCAAAGGATTGGTAGAATAGAATCGAAATAACCAGACCCATCACATTACTTATTGCAGGAAGAAAAATATTCACAAAAATCCTGAGCGACTGTCTAGTATACTGCTGTACAGAACACAGCATCCTAAATGAACTGAACTGAGCGGTGCTCCCAGGCAGCAGCACACAAGCACCCATATACATAATGAATCTCTGCATGGGGGGGACTGGGGGGTTTCCCACTAAGGGTATATTTATGCCTCAACTAGCTCCAGCTTGCCTTCTATTATATTGTTCTTTTTTTGTTACTGTATAGATATTTGATCTTTTTTTGCCTTGAAATATATCTAGAAATCTATATTGCTTTCTTGCTTAGCTGGAGACTCCGAAATCTTAATTTCGATGATGATTGGTTTATATTTTTTGACACATTTTTAATATATTGTATAATTATCTAACCTTTAACCATCCTTTAAATATCAAGAAAACATTATAGATTTCTTGCCTAGTTTGAGTCTCCAAAATCTTAAATTGGATAACAAGTTAACTATACTTCGAACAAAAAAATATATTATATAGCTATTTTTTCTTTTTTTGCTTTGAAATATATCTAGATAACGTTTTAGCTTTCTTGTCTAGTTTGGGTCTCTTAAATCCATTATTGCTAGCTGTATGAGGGTACAAAGCACCTGAAAATGCGAAGCGAAGCGGAGCATCTAGTTAGCATATTGCTTTCTAATGTTCAGAATCCCGTCTCCTCATGATTGAATCACATGAGAAAAAAAAGAAAAATGTAAATAGCTGTATATGCTTTTTCTCTTAATGAGAACAAACTTTATAATAGTGTTTTAATGTATAATAGCTACCAGCATGTAATTTACATCAACCACAATCTGCCCCAGTAGGCTTTCCACATACAAGACAGGGTTTACGAAATTTTGACAAATAATGCTCCCAAAACCCCTCAGCTTTATGACAAGATCTGTTATATAAAGAACCATTATTGTGAAGATATTGGCAAGTATAAAGTAGCATTAGTATAAAATATCTTGTATATTATTAATTAATTATTCATTATATATAACAAATTTCAATTTAGAAAAAAACATGGTTATATATAACAAACAAAAAAACGATACATTTATTATGACTGAACAAAATATCAATATCAATTCTATTATGGCAAAAGATATCGAAAAGGCATTGCTTGGAATCTTAAATTCAGCAATTCGTCGAAAATTTAAAACTGATAGCAAATTCGTTAAAGATCATCTTAGTTATGTAACTAGATTACAGTCGGCAAAAGAACCAGAAAAGTATATTCGATATAAAGCAAGGCAACTCATGCCAGACGAGGCATCATACAATAGAAGAATTGAGTATATTCATGATCACTATTCAGGAGAATTATGTGAAAGACTTGAAAAATTACATAAGCTTTATTACGAGTTAGCTCAGGAGGAAGAAAAATATGAAATTTCTGAGATAGATGCAAGCGAAATTGTTAAGGGTCTTCTCAAATTGTCTATCGAATAACTAATGTTATCTTTGTCTAGATAGGAAGCATGATAAAAGTACCTGATCAGTATGAATACGCTATAAAAAGATTAAAAGAAATAGTACCAATTAATATTGATGATTTAAAAACAATAACCCATTCAAGTTGGTCATATAACGCAAATCAAGTCACGTTATAGCTGAAAGAGGGAGCGATGTCATGTGTAAATCCGCATATATAGCGGGATCCCTTTATTTTTTTAAAAAATTGCCAGACGGCAGTCCATAAAGCAGGACACAGAGTGTTTACAATATATAAATAAAAAATAAAGCTTTGCTTCAGCTCCGCTATGAGTCAGACCGTTATTGATCTAAAATATCTTGTGCCTCCTTACGACTTAAACGAGAAAAATCACCATTATCTAAACAATATTGTGCATATTCTGTAGAAACATAATAAAGAGGATTTCTTTCATGAAAATTATCATCATCTTCAGGGTCATAGTCTGGATCATCTAAATTAATAAATATGAATATATACTTCATTATTTTTTGACTTAAAACATATTCGGAGAGATTATACTTACCACGTCTGTTTCTCCTAGTATTTCGTTGACGATTAGGATTAGATACCCTTCGGTTAGATCTTGGATTAGATGGTGTTTGAACGACGGTTCTGGAGGCATTGAAAGAAATATTCCTACTTTGGGAGGTATTATTATCATTGCTCTCAGGGGTATTGGTTTCGTTAGTCTTGATGGTGCTATTTTTATCACTGCTCATTTTTACGATCCTAAAATACAAAATAACGGTAAGCATAAATACGTTTTATAATCTTAATTAAACAGCGATACATTAAATAGTGATATATTACTTAGAATTAGTAGTAGAAAACGTTATTGGTACCCATTTTACAAGAGAGAAAAAAGCCTTGTATTTTATACCGTCCAGAACCATTAGATCTATCCCAAAACCCAAATAATTTTCGTCATTACTTTTGGTGAAGCGTGCCCCTTAATTTCGGTGATCTCACTCATAAGTAAAAAAGTCAATGATCTCGACGATCTGGGAAATGCCAAGTCATTGTAACATATGAACTTTGATAAAACCACTAATAAGAAATGATAAGCCCATTCCCCTAATGACTCTTTTAAATCTAATTCGTGTTTTCTTGCCGGAGGTGGATTATAGCAGGTACATATGAGATAAGGAAAGTACGTAAATCGAATTACGTATTTAACCGACGAATCAGTGATCAGCGTAGAAGTTCGTGAAACATGCGTAAATCTTTTTCGTTATACGTATTTAGGCTAGAAAATATTTCTATATTAAACATGCTCCACGATAAGAACCAGCGTAAACGAATCTCGAAAAGGCAATAAGAGAGGTCAACCAGACAATCTCCATTAGTGCGTATATCAAGGGACTTATGTCTTGGGAAGTCGAAATCTCCGCAATCTCCGAGATCGTCGTGTACTTGCCAATCTATATGAGTTGCGTAATCTATATACTATAAAAAGCCACCGATCTACTTAAAAATAAACGAAAAAAATTTTCATTTCTTTCCTGCATTATCTCACTTCAGCCGGAGGTCATAACGCATCGCATAAACCAGAATTTTTTTACGCCATATATCATATAAAAGATACCATGTCTTCACCTTCCTCACCTGTTTCTACATCCTCTACTTTAACGGAAGAAAGGTCAACTCGCACGATGGCAGACGTTATTAAAAATTACAAGACGGAAGAACTTATCGACTATTTGCAGAGGCAAGATTTAGATCTCAAAGAATCCCATTTCAAGATTTTTCGACAGGAAGAAATTTCTGGTCGGGATTTTCTTAACACATCTAAAGAGGAGTTTCGCAGTTATGGATTAAAAGCTGGCCCAGCAAAAAGGCTTGCAGATTTTATCGAAGAGATATCAGAACAAAAACTACGAAGCTTCTCATCATATAAAACTCTGGATGATTTAAAAGACGTACTCCGAAAATATAAGGTTAATGGGGAGGATATAACAAGCATCAAACAATTCATTCCAGGTATGTGGTACTTTATTTTTTGTGTCAATGCGTTCGAATACCCAGATATAATAATTTATTTTTTCGTTGTATAGTTTTTGAGGAGATCGATGATGATGACAAAGCACTTGAGCAGTGTATGAATGAAATAGTACTACGGCTGACGAACGTAAAATCAATGATAGAGGCCAACGAGGCTACCCGATGTGAATTTATTTCATCAATCTTACACGCATCAATCGCAATCACAAGAAGGCTAACAAATAAAGAAATCAATATTGAGTTGCAGAGGGATATTTCGGGTGAAGAAGCGTCTGGTCGAGTCGATTACGCAATAACTGGGATGGAAGATCTTTTGTGTATCACTGAGGGCAAGCCACGAAACGTCAAGATAGGCTACCTCCAAAACATAAAACAACTCGAGAGTTCCTTTCATATGAACAAGAAGAAGCGAACGGCAGATGAGGCATTCAAGGGTGGGGATTACGACTATCTATATGGAATTGTGTCAACAGGTATGTAAAAAATTTCTGTGATTTTTTTTTTGCAAATTATATGATACTAATCATCAGTTTATTATATTGTGAAATAATGTGGCTCTGCCTCTAGCCATGGATTGGCATTTCATCATGTTCACCTCTGACGGGATTTTCTGTACAAGTAATAGCGAATACCAAATAAATCTTACAAAAAAAGCGCTTAAGGGAAATCAGGAAAATTTGAGGGACGATATAAAGCAGGTGATTGGTATAATTGTGGGGTTATTGAAAGATAGGATTTCCGCTTGTGATGAACCCGAATCCAAGAAGCGACGCGTACAAGAAAAAATTACCAAAAAATAGTGGATAGATAGTCTCATAGAATGAGGATGCTATCGCATCTATCCCGCTTCACATGTATTTTAGATATCATAGATATCAGCTCCGCTATATTATATAAATAAAACAATCAAACCTAAATGGTCGTTTTTTCGATAATTAATTTTTATGTGCGATATTTTCCTCCAAATTTATTTTGGCGTTTACACTTCTGAACTAAGTTGAGTGATTTTTATCACGTGATTTATATCGAAAGATCATAGATTCTGAAGCTGTTAATAAAAAAACGACTCAAGATCTTATACGTAGCTATTTTCATTTTGGGAAAGCAATCGAGGAACGGTATAATTACTACAGAAAAGATTATCCGAAGCGTACGTCTGAAGGAAAGGTTTCTGATGAGATTAGAAAACAGCTTCCAAATTCGGTTAGTGAAAGCTTACTTCGAAAAACAAAAGAAAGGGCCCTGAAGATTTATGATTTATTCAATGAATTAGGGGAGGATAAGATTAAACGAATTCAGACTTTCACGGCAACAACACTAGCAAATATATCTCAGGACGATATTAATTACGTATTAGCTAAGGTTTCAGATAAATCAATAGTCACGTGACATTGTGATTGCTTGTCACAATCTATGTAATAAATCCGTCCATTTTTTTTACTTTAATAAAATAACCTCACCGGGTTTTTATTTTTTAACTGATTGGCGCGCATCGGCGTGTGTCGGTTTTAAATGCTGAAAATAAATTGCTAATTGATGCGCACATATTAGTTCGACGAGTATTGACTTAATGTACTCCATATAAACCCTTTACTGATTATCAATGATATATTTTTCTTATTTTCATTATGAGGGTATGGATCGTTAAATTATTCATGTCGCCATTAGTAAGGAGAGAAATATGACGTAGTGTTTCCGCGGTTCAGACCACTGAGCTATGAGACATGAAATAGTTAGCAGAATTCACCTCAAATTTTTTGATCGTCGAACTATACTACAAGCGTCTACCGATTTCTTTACCATTCACTTTCTTTCCCATGCTTCTTACTATTCATGATATTATAAAAAAATTACAATTGAATAAAAAATATAGTTTTAAGAAAATATCTAGGTTTATTATATAACAATGTCATCTAGACAAGTCAATCAA